CTTGAGCTTTATTTAACAATGAGCTCCCACCTCCACTCTCCACACTAAACCATGCTCATTAGGTTTCTTAATCCTCCATAATTTGCTTTCATGAAATCTTACACATTTCAGCCGCTGTGTTCTATGAGCCTGTTTTCTTAGGATAGCTATTCCAACAGCAGAGCAGCAGCAAGCACTGAACAAGCTTTTCACTTTCTCAGCCAACATGACTCTACAGGGAAAAAATGGTTGTTCGAATGTTTATGGGTCATGAAACTATACCTTTTAACTTGGTATTTCATTTTCTCACCCAAACATTGCCTGGGATGGTTAAGACTACAGAATTAACCTAAGGGAAGTTTTTAACATATAGTTATTAACCTGTAAACATCAGATGCTTCTTAATCAGAGAGAAAATAACAATATCCTGATATTAGTCATCAGTAAATTCAAGAATTTCAAAGAGAAAAAGAAATCCTTTCTTGGTTATTCTGCAAGAGCTTTGCTTTTATAAATGGGTCATTTTTAAAAGATGTGCACAGCTTTGTAATCTGACCAAAGTGTCAGCACCAGGTCTTTTCAACAGCTCATCATGCTTTTCCCCCATGTTACTCATTAGAAACTCCTCTGCTGAGGAAGTATGTTCAGAATGGACAAAAGAGCATATATTTCCATATTTCTAACTTTCTAGGGGCCTTGATTAAGAACAGATTTCTTGGTTATAGACTGAAAGAGTCAATGAATTTTCCAAAGGTACCTAGCTGATTCCAGCAGAGTTCACACTCCAACTCTCTGTATGTAGCTGAGTCCAGCAAAGTTCACACTCCAATCCGTGCATGTTAACTTATGATCCTCCCCATCCAGATGACAGAAAGCAAAGCCAGTAAGTTCTTTATTTAATTGGTCTGCATCCATGCAGTGACCTCCAGGGCTCTGTTTATATAGCCTATCGTGCAATATGCTCCACAGCTCTCTGCCTCTTTCAAAAGCATGCTTTTCCTGAGATTTGATATATGGTTTTCATATTTAATCACTATGTTAAAACTCAATGCTCTGCTTCCTCCAGCATCAACTAACTTCCCTTCTTGGGAGGTGGGGTAAAGAGCACAGCTTCTTGCTAGTTCTGAACATAAAAGGAAGTCTGTTTTACTCTATTAGTAAGATCACCAACTCCACATACTCTTAGACAAGCTACATTATCACTACATCAACTAGAAGCTGATGTTAACTTAGAAACCTTAAAAACTCCCTTGGAAAGAAGGTGAGCTCACTATTCCTAACTGACAAAGCCAAACTTCAGGTCACTGAGTCATAAATCAACAAAAAGAGTTTTAAAATCAAGTCGGGGCATGGTGGTGCACTCCTTTAGTCCCAGCACTTGGGAAGCAGAGGCAGGCAGCTCTCTGTGAGTTCAAGGCCAGCCTGGTCTACAAAGTGAGTTCCAGGCCAGCTGGGACTATAGGGAGACCCTGTCTCAAAAAGACAAAAAAAAAAAAAAGTTCTAAAATCAGTATAAAACTCAATATACAGAAATTACAGCTAAATGGGAATTGAAGTTTTAACCAAATTTATCATCAAAATAGAACATTCCTGTGATACTTAGATCAGAGTAACATAGCACCTCTGCCTCACGGTTACAGGTTTTCTTTGACCAGATGACTCACCATAAGTAGAATTTTTCAGTCTCTGTAACTTGAATGTGGGAACAAAATGCTACAACCTTTTCTGTAACAATCAGCACATGACCCAGATTTCTAAGATGGATGAAAACCTTGAAAACTAAAATGACCCCTTTCAATAAAGCAAGACAATCTATAATTTTTAGGTTTTAAATATTATAAAAATGTCCTCTACTTTAAAATATTTTGAGAGTAACCATGGCAAATTACTAACAATAGTAAATTTAGAGGGTGGCCACTCATCATACTGCACTCCCTCCTTGTAAGTATAGTTGAAATTTTCATTGTAAGATTTAACTTCAGGGGCTGGGGAGGTGGCTCAGTCAGTAAAGTGCCTGGCAAACAGGAAGACTTAAGTTTCACCCTCAGAACCTACATAAAAAGAAGACAGGCATGGAGGCACACACTTATAGCACTAGAGAGACAGAGCCAGAAGAATCCTTTGGGATTGCTGGACAGCCAATCTAATCTACTTGACAAGCTCCCAGCCACAGAAAGAAAGAAAGGAAAGGAAAGAAGGAAGGAGGGAGAGAGGGAGGAAGGAAGGAAGGAAGGAAGGAAGGAAGGAAGGAAGGAAGGAAGAGCCTGAAAAACAGCACTCAACATTGTCCCTTGGCTTCCATAAACACATGCATCCATGTGTGTGCATGCAAGGGAACCCACATGGAAACACACACAATCTTAACTTTTGGGAAAACACCAAAATGTTGTCTGTGGGCTTGCTTTTATAAAAAATAAGTCGAGTAAGCAAAACTTTCCTACTTTCTTAGCTAATCATTTGGTTATATTTTACCATGTGATAGCAATGGAAAATTTTCTTTCTCATGGATCTCACTGCACAATCTAAAACTCATAAGTACAAATGTGCAGTAAGCTCTAAATTGTACGTGTGTGTGTGTGTGTGTGTGTGTCACTCTTAGAGAGACAGAGAGAGAGAGAGAAAGAGAGAGTTTGACTTTGAAATCCTCTCCTTTTTGACTGCACTGAGCACCGTATTTACATTTTAAAGCTTTTTTTCTCTTAGTATGATTGGCACCATTCTTCATTTAAAAATCTTATTTTGTCAAGCTGAATACAACCTTTAACAGAGCTAGCTGACTTTCCGCATTTGATGAACAATAGAGAATTTGAACCTATTGAAGCCATAGATTTAATTGTTCCAATATGTTATCTTATTCATAACCAAAAGTTGCATAATATAAAATACCAAAGAATAAATTTTTTGTTTCCTTCATCATGATTCCTCATCCAATGATAAGCTAGAAGAACTTATAAAAAATTCTTAATTAGAAAACATCTAAATTTACTCCATATTTAAATGCAAAATGAAAAGTACAAATAAACTTTTAATCTGTATTTCCCATAAGACTTTAGGAGTACAGGCTGGAGAGATGGCACAGCAGTTAAGAAGATCGGCTGCACTTCTAGAGGACCCAGGTTTGGTTCCCAGCACCCACATGGCAGCTTAAAAAAAAAAAAAAAAAATACCATCTATAACTCCAGTTTGAAGGCACTGATGCCCTCTTCTGGCCTCCGCAGGCATTGCATGTACCTGGGGCACTTACATTCAGGCAAAACCATACAGATAAATAAAAATATATAAGTAAAAAAAGATTTTAAGAGTACATTGTAATTTTCAAAGACACGCAGATGTTGTGTAAGACAAAAATTCAAAAACCAGGACTTGAATAAAAACAAGAGTTATGGATAAAATCTTTAGTCACATGAGTGAAAGATGTGTGCCTGTACAGATGTTATAACTATTTCAAGTGATAAATATTAACCTTCTGTATACGAATTTAGCAGTACACTTTAATTTGGATTAAAAGTCTTAACATAAATTGTTTGACTTTGACAATAGCAGCCCAATATTTCAGTTTTGTATACCATTTCCAGATTTTCCTTCAAAATGTATCTAGTGAACTTTTTCATTTTTAAAAGCTGTATTCCCGATCCTGTACCTTAAAATCAGCTTCTTGTTTGATTGTTTAGAGAATTAAATCATATAATAAATAAGCGAATTCTTAATATTTGATGACTGACTGCCATATATTTTAAGGCATGTAGTTTTTATGTAAAGAATTCATTCTCTGTAAATTTTATTCATTTAGTATTATACCTAGAGATTACAACTATTAAATAAAAGAAACATTTTTCACCTTATTTGAATCACCTTCAGTGAGTAAATAAAAGAGTCACTGCCATAGAGACTGTAGTCTTCATATTTCTAACTTTTTTAACCAAAAATGTTTACTTTATACCACCACTGGCACGTGTTGATTCAGAAGCCCCAAACAACAACACGGAAAGAGTTCTAGAATCACGGACTTAAATCAGGGGAATTTGTCAGGTCAAATACACAGACTTCATGTAGTTGAGTCTCACCAAATTGGAGAAACTCATAAAGCTGTACTTTAAAAGGCTGGTCAAGCTGATGAGAAGGAAAGTGTGTTAGCTCTGTAACAACACTGTCAGAAAGGAATTTACAGCCCTTGGTTTCTCTCTGAACACAATAATAAAAACCCTTTAGGTTAAGATATAGTGAAACTCACAACCCTGTAAGAATGTGACTTTGAAATGCAGCAAGCTATTTTTTTTTCCTGCAAATTATTTTCTCCTGGAATTGCAAACTAATACTGGTATATTAACAATCAATCAAAGGGCATAATTCCTTGGTGCCCAACATGAGGCAATTTTTGTGCTTTAGTTGTAAGCATCATCAGAAACTCTGCAGTGAATAAATCTTTGCAGGAAGCAAAAAGAGTCGAACCTGAGGACCACCAGTTGTACTCGTGCTTAATGAGAGGAAAACATCTAATGAGGCTGATAAACCACTGTCGGTGATGATATAAACTCTGTCTTAATAGATACAAAACAGTAGTTTAAGGTGGCTTTAATTTTCTATCACTTCTCCAGTGAAACAGAAGTCATAGATGAATTTCTATCTATATTATACACTTTGCTGGATTAAATGTATTCGCCACTGCATGTGATGACAAATCAGTTGTGAAGGACCTTTAAATTATTTAAGATGCATTGCCAATTAAGAAAATAATATTGTGTTAAGCAACAAATACATGCAACCCCCACTCTGCTTTTAAACTGGAAGTCTGCAGAAATAAGGCATTTAATGCTTGTTTCAGAACTATGAAGAGCCCCAAGTGAACACCTCAAACTATGATTCGCAGCAGCCAAAGCCCTGCATTGATGTGGAACTCATGTTTTGAAAAGAGATTGCTCAGTCTGTTTAAAATCAAAAATGGTTCTTGATCTGATGAATTACTCCTCAGAGAATAATGTACATAAAATATACTCAGAATAACATTATTAATGTAAACATACCTGAACCAGAGTCAAATTTAGTTTCTGACCTGCAAAGCAAAAAAAAAAAAAAAATTACATTTTTATAATATAAAATACTAAAAGAACAAGTTATTTTATGAGGTGGGAAGGTATAGTATTTAGAGATTTCTGCATATTGGTAAAGAAATAAAATTATTTCCTGAAATGTAAATATATATTTATTTCAGTCATTTCAAATGAATGTATTACCTGGGTCCCCTAAATCTGCACATATTAATTTAGATTACACATAAGAAAAAAGATAATAAACTTTTAAAGTTTGCTTTTGAAAGCAGGGACTTTTTAAAAAGCATCTAATCTTTACATATTAACTTGTTTCAGTGGTATTATAAAGTAATAAAAAATGAAACTATATTATGCTTTTTACTCTATTATTAAAGATTTTCAATTGCTTAACAGCAAGGAATTTTTCACTAGGTTCTTAGCACACAGCAAATGAACTTAGTAACCCCATACATTTAATAAGGAGGAGGGGAAAACAGCCCTTGTGGGAACATTACATTTCAGATATAGGTTAATACTGGCTGTAAATTCAGAAGCCTTTGAAGCCCTCGGTCTGGCTGTGGGAAAACTTCTGTTGGGTAATTACTCTCAAGATGCTGCTGATGTGCTGTCAAGCAGAATTAACCCAGTGACTAGGCCTATCTACACAGGCTACTATAAGACAGCATTGTCTATATCTAGCTCTCAAACCAATTAGTGGGCATGCTCAGTCGGATTTATATCACACACCAGCAATCAATAGTATATATGTTCACAGCTGTCACAGCAAGATACCAGAACCAACCAGCAGGAGTCCTGTTAAAGGATGTTACATTGACAGAGAAGACTTTTTTTTCATGGGGAAATGTAGTTAACTAACTGGGAAAGGAGATTTCTTTGAAATTATGCCAGAGTACTGAAGTACTTTGGGAAGCAGTGGCTTTCTTCACCTAAATTAGCTTCAAGAAAAGTCATCAAAGAGGGGAAGGGAGAATAAGGAGCTTCTTTCCCCACAAAAATTCATTTTCTCAAGTACTCAAATTTTACCTTACTTTTAACCAAAGTCAACAACTGTTCACATATATATATATATATAAAACACATAAGTGTATATGTTTATACATGTACTCCTACACACACATACATATATATGTATTTAGTATATATGTGTGTGTATTTAGTATATATAAAGTACAGCCATAGATTTGGTTTTATGAGGGGTTTTTGCAGCACTAGGAATTAAACCTAGGATCACACATGTTAGGTAAGTGCTCTACCACCAAACTCTCCACCTAACCCAAACAACCAATTTTCAGTATCTGCCACTATAATGCAGACCCAACTTCTTCCTCAAACCCAGTCCTCATTTTAGTTCTATACATCCTATGTCATTTGTCTTCCTTTATTAATCTCCCAGTATTCTCACTCCATGAGCCAGAAAATAGGTCCTTGCTACAGTTTATCGGCAGTTTCCTAATATATACTGTAAAAGCCCTGTGACAGTGTGAACTTCTTGTTCAATAGACATGCTGACCACTTCTTTCCAGGGCTGTTTATCAGCATCCTATTGGCTCCCCTCCCAAACCATGCTGCCCCTCAGCTACTCCACATATCATGGCAGTGACAGTCATGTACACACTGGGCCTCACGTGTTTTCATATTCCCCACACATAGCACAGCACCTGACACTTAAGCGTTAATAAAAATTTGTAGTAGGAATCAATGCATAAACAACAAATCAATAAGCTAATAGAGGGCTAAAGGTAAACTACAATGACAAAAGTCTCTAAAATATGTATTTTGAGATATGTAAAATTACATCAGAAAATTTTTATTCTTCAGAGTATCTTATCTATTCCTGAGGCATCTGGTCAATATGTAAAACATATCCATAAAATGTACACAAAAATTTTCACAAACCAATTAGCACCTTAGGCACTGATTTAAAAATAGAAAACATTTTCATAATCTTCAGATACAGTATTAAGCATTCAAAATACATTTTATTAATAATTAAAACATGATCATCAAAGTTAAAATGATCACATTTGAGGTTAGGGAAAATTGTTCCTATGACAGGTTAATTCAGATTACTATGAGATTTTGCATACATAAAGTCTGTTGTGATGTACTCTATCAGAATTGTGATGGTTATCTCTATTCATAAATCCTCCTTGGGAAAGTAAGTAAAATATAGACAGGAAGGAGTAAATAGGAAGTACACAAAGAAAGATATACAACAGTGTGGATGTGGATCATACAGGAAAGGTCAAGAAGGACACACATCCATTGTGAATGTTCCAAGCATATCAATCACAGGCTTATTTTTAGTAGTGTACTGTGTTGGATACTAGAATATGAAAAAGCACAAAGCATGGCATAAAATGAATAAAATGAACCTGTCTCTGAAGGCAGCCATTCTATTCCTAGACTACCTACTCATATATCTAAGCTCAAAACTAATTGGTCCTGGTACTGCTTTCCAATATCCATTCTCCCCTTCTTGCTTTGAAAAGTTTTCTGTTTTTGTTTTTGTCTTTTTTTGAGACGTGGTCTCCCTGTAGCCCCAGCTGTCCTGGAACTCACTATGTAGACCTGGCTGGCCTTGAACTCACAGAGATCCTCCTGCCTTTGCCTCCCAAGTGCTGGGGATAAAGGTGTACGCCACCACACTCGACTATTGTTTTGAAAAGTTTTAAACAGGCACATAATTGGATAGGCAAAATGATATTTCCACACTATTTAAGACCTTTTTTGTGGCTATTTGTGACCATGTGATATAATGCCTTCCACCACGCCCCACCTCTTAGAGATCCACCATCTCAGCACCACAACACTGGAGATCAGTGGTCCAGCTTTGGAGGACACATTCCATCCATATCTAAATCACAGCATATCTTAAAGTAAAACTTTAAAATGTGTGAACATGAAAATGAAGAGCTTATGAATTTCAAAACAGAAAGGATTGATACTAGAAAATTCAATTATTACTCAAATTTTTTTAAATTTAAATATGTAATGCATATATTCTTTTGATAATAGAATTGAAGATTTTCAAGAGAGGGCAGTTTTAGTCATTGCTTAGGGCTGTATACTGGGAAAATTTATAAAATGACTATCTTCTATTTATGACACATTTTATGTGTGTCAAAACCAAAAGATTTGGGGCTGAGTATGCAGCTCATTTGCTAGAGTGCTTGTCTAGCATAAAGAAACCTCTGGGTTTGATTCTCAACCTTCATAAACTGGGTGTGGTGGTGCCACACTCAGGAGGCAGAAGCAGGAGAATTAGGAATATAGTGAGTTTGAGGCCACCCTGGGCTACCTGAGAGCCTGACCAGAA